CTTTTCCAGAAGGGAAAACAAAAAGAAAAAGAAAAGCAGTGAGAGAATGTCAGGGCCGTTTCTCACACCCTGTGCCCTGCCTCTGGCCCTATTACGAGCAGAAGCCCTATGAAAGACAGAGTAACGGTAAGTGAATTCCGACAGTGACGACCAAAGGCATCAATAAGTAAATAAAGTAAATGCAGGCCGAGCGGACGGCAGTTTCCCAGGGCTCTCTGACAGCTTCAGGGCTGTGAATAATGGCCCTCCCTTGTTGATGTTGTTTGTTCTAACTATCTTTGTATCTGGAGCTGGAGGCATCAGATCGACAACCACAAAAAAAAACTATTTTTGTATCTGGAGATGGATGCATCAGATCAACAACCACAATCAAAAAATTCCGGAAAATACATGTGTATAATTGAAATACAAACGACTTTTGGCTGAGGGTCACATTATAATTCTTCACAGAATCGGAGATAAAAAAGAAAATAACAGAATCACACAAAGGCACCCCCCTTTAAACCCATCTAGCCTCCCTCCCCCGCCCCTTGACAGCCAACTCGCAAAAAAAGAGATGAGCCGGGATTTGGGGTCCTCTGGGAGAGCGCAGAGAACCCCCAAAAAAGAAATGAGCCTGGATTTGGGTCCTCTGGGAGAGCGCAGAAAACCCCCCAAAAAGAAATGAGCCCGGATTTGGGGTCCTCTGGTGTCACGCCCGGGTGCCCGGCCTGGCAGGACCGGCGGGGCGTGAGAATCTTTCTAGATTTATTTATCTTTTTTCACGAGTTCTCTTCATTCTTCCCTTGAATTGTAGGACTTGAACTGCTTGCTCTAGACTTGCATTAATTTCAGTTGTCTTGCGATCACAAATGAACTGCCCAGTAGTCCCTTTGCAGTTCGAAGGGCACATAGCATGTTTATGCCCCTAGTCTTTCTGGGACCCGATTTCCTCACYCTTCCSCCCCCCCCCCCCCCCCTTCTTTAGTCATCGGGACATAAGCAGGGTCCCGTTCCTCCATCTGGACAGTCTGGGTCTTGAGATGTTCAGCTGTCCGTGTCTGGATCTTCCAGACGCCCGGATTGAACCAGGCTCATGCCGGTTTTTTTTTTTTTTTAGTCCAGGAAAAAAGGAGGATTAGAAGCAAAAACGTTTCCTTGAATCACCTGTCTGCCTGGGCCTCTTTTCACGGACGTTGCTGCATGCGAATTACTGTCGAAGTGGTGCACAAATTGCCCGGTGACAGCAGCCTTTCCTGTTCGGTTGGCGGAGCAACTGATGGTGCTAAGTTTGTGGTGGGTTTAACTGCGTTGTTGAAAAAAAATAGCTGGGTAAAGGACTGGACCGACTGGTGGTTTGACACTTTTTTCTTTTTTCCCAAGAATTTTGCCCCCTTCTATTCTGAAGGGCGACAGTCCGGTTAGTTATTACTGGCAAGCAAAATGAAATTCCAATGTTCAATGAGAAAGGGGTATTCCCCCGCCGCCCGTGACACTCTATTGGGGGGGGGGCTGGGGGGATGTTCTTTAATGACCATTTGTTGACCCTCTCCCCTCTCGGGGCTCACATGATGGCCAGGAAACAGGCCTATGTACCAAGTCGCACATTATGTGTGTTGCGGGGGGACCGGGGGGAGGGGCATAGCGTCGCTCCCGGGACCCTTGAACATTCCTCCAGTCGTTAGGCCTCATGAAAGGCCAGATAGTTTGCTCCCCGTCATTGTGGTTGACCGAGGGTCCACAGGAGACTACTATGGGAGCCGAAACCAAATATCCCGCCTTCCCTTAATTTCCTTACTGCTGAAGATTGTCAATCTCCCTTTTCCTTTACACCCCACACTTTTCCTGATATTGTACTCTACCCCTGTTCTACAACTGTTTTATGTTTCACCCCTGTTTTACCACTAGTTTGCACCTACATTTACCACCGCCTATTTCCCTCTTCCTGCTTACCACCTCTATATACCCTCAACTGCTTGAGACTGCTTGGTTCAGAAGACTTCTGTCCTCAGCTATGCATCTCTAGATCCTGATACTCCCCCATCATTTCCCCTTAGCTCCCTCGCTTCAACAAACTCTTTTATTTTTGTTTTTTTAAACGTCGTTACTGTCCCTATCCGTCCACTACTTCGGCCGGCCTTGATTGAAGTTCATTCCCTATCCCCCACTCTTACTAGTGGTACAACTACACCGCACCTCCCCTCCTAACTCCCAGTGGCCCTTAACTGTAGTACTCTACAATCTAGAACCTACGACCTGGACTATTATACTTCAATTCTGGCACCCCCCATCCCCTAGGCTCTACTCTTCTAGATCTGGGGCGTACTTCCGAAGCAGGGACCCAAAAGTTAGACTGCCTGACTGTGGGCCCTTCTTTGCCAAGGCCGGGCATTACTCCCAGATTATCCAGAATTTGGAAGCATCATTCCCCGACCTTCGGTTCTGCTTTAGCAGGTCCACAATCGGGGCGTCTCTCAAATTTTTCATCGCTTGCCTTCTGAACCCTGACGTAGTAACTTCCTTGCATTGCGGAATTCGTTCATTGCTGCATTGTCCATATTGCCCAAATCACCACCCCTCTAACCACTTCTGCTGCATAGAGCTTCTGTGTGTCCTCCCTGTCCACAGCCATCTATCGCAGCATCGTCCTCCTCAGTTACTATCCACGGGGAGGGCTCACCATCTCCAGCAGCCGGCCACTACTGGCCAGTGCAGAAAGAGATGGGGGATGGATTCTGTCTGTCCACAGGAGGGAGCAGAACATAGCCCCTCCTTGTAGTGGCCCTTTGTTGCTACCGTCTTCACCCGAATAGAATGCCCGGTCATTATAGCCGTATTTCATGCAACTTTTACTAGAGGTACAGCGATAATGACAGGGTGTTGTATTCGGGTGAAGACGGTAGCCACTGCGCCATGGGGACTGTCATATGGTAAATCTGCCATAGCAGGCCAGCGTGCTTCTGGTCCAGGAGAGCCTTCAGGATCGCTCACTGCTCCTTCCATCTCTGGTCTGTCCATCTAGGAATTAACGCCGGGGGGATCCAGTCCCTTTGTGCCTATTTATCCCTGAGATCAGCAGCTATGTCCACAGTCGGAAGTATTGGCTGGTAGATTGCCTTCGTAGTCACCTGCTGGAGTGGGATGCTCCTCCTATGGTGATTCTTGGGGGGGGAGTTACCATTCTTGGGGGTTAAAAACCAGTTGTCGCCAAGGTTTGCTGAGGTGGAACGGGAGAAGAGCCTCGTCACTCCACCCGCCCCCCTTACAGACTGACACTGTCTCCACGGTCGACGGGTCGATCAGGCATTTGCGGGGCATCCCATCCTCCCCTGTCCCTACCAATGGGTGGTGGCCCAAGGCCTTGTATCCTGAGCTCATTGCCCGTTCTGTGGCTACCTGCTTCTTGGACTCCTATTCTGTACACCGGACGGGGGCAGAGGTCCCCCTTACCATCACCCAATCACCTGCCTGTAAACCTCCTTTCTTCAGCATCTCGATCCACTGTGTTGGGATTGCTCCTTGCAGTTCCCTCAACCTACAGAGCCTGTTAACCTGCCTGGGCAGGCACCTTACCATTTCTTCATCCGTTCTCCAGTTGCCCCTCTGAGTGTCCCACAAATGTCCTATCTTGTATACCCCCTGATCCGCTCATTGTCCTCCAAAAGCACGTGCCTCGCCCTGCCATTGGTACAGATCCTCCTCCACATCACATATGAATCTGTTACTCAAGAGCAGCTGATTGAAGACCGTGTCTGCCGATTCTGGCCACCTGCATTGTAGTTGGATCTCCCCCTTCATAGCGACAACGCAGTGGACCGTACAGTATTTCTCCATACATGACCCATCATGTCCGCGTTCATAACGCACAGGTCCACCACCGGCGGTCCACCGCCGATGCATAGGCCAGGCGTTGCTGCATCAAGTTTCCCCATGGTTCACCTGCTGTCTTGAACAGTACCGAGACCAGATTTCTCATTTGCAATGCTATCATTTGCAGCCCTGGGTTCAAGATTCCCAAGCCTCCCTCCTGCCTCCGCTGGGTCAGCTTGACCCATGCCACCCTGCAGATGCTGTCCTCTTTTGTTGCCTTCCCCGCCCATAAGAACACCTGCACACTTTCTTCAACTGAGCTACCATCCGTCTATTCGGCATGTGTATCGCTCCCGTGCACCACATGGTAGCAAGCACCGAGTTGTTAATTACCAGTGCTTTCCCAAATACACCCAGGCTGGTGCATGCAGCCCAGGCCACCATTCTGGCGATTGCACCCCAGGCCACCATTCTGGCGATTGCACCCCACGCCCACCATTCTGGCGATTGCACCCCAGGCCCACCATTCTGGCGATTGCACCCCAGGCCACCATTCTGGCGATTGCACCGCAGGCCACCATTCTGGTCCGCGCACCCTAGGCCACCATTCTGGCGATTGTCTGGGCTGCGCCCCCGCCAGTCGGGGTAACGCTCACTCCCGAAAAACACAATCGGTCCTCTTCTCCCAGGGTGGGAATGTCCCATCCCTCAGGCGGGGGCAGACCCCTGGGCATAACTGCTTTAGACTTGCCCCAATTAACTCTCGCCCCTGGATATGTGGCTGTTGGGGTGTTCTAAAATGCATGCATGGCCAATGAAAAGCAACCAGCCACAAGCACACCAGTTTGGGCTGCAGGGAGATCAAACAGGCATTTGGCTATGTGATTATAAGTGATGGCTTCGCTGTATGGTTCGTGACCATGGACTAGATGTCTGCTGCACCAAACAGTTCTTGACCATGGATTGAATGCCCACTGCATTTGGCTCGCTTTATAGGCTGATCGTTGTTGGCAGGAGTTACCCTGGGATGCCTGTTCAGTTGTAGTGTGCAATATCTTCTTTCTGGTACTGCTGCTAAATATAGACACTGATGATGACGCACTGCGGGGGTATCTTTTCCTTTCCAACTTTGTTTTCAATGTGAGAAAGATTGGAAGTGCTCTGTATTGACGGGGTTTGCTTGTGGTTACTTCTATGTGTCTTTGTGTCAGGTGTACGATCATCTTGATGAACTGGCGCCAGAAGAGCGGAATGCTCTCATGCATGCTCTCTTGATGCATGCGAGAAAATTCAGCTATGGACCTCCACAGGTAACATTTTCGCTCTGATCCTGTCTCAGGCACATGTTGTAATACTATGAACTGAGTTGCAGTTTAACTCACCCTTCAGCAAAAATTAAAGAAAAATGAACTCGTGCAATCCTAATCAAACCGCATGATGCGTTAGACTGCTGGCTCACTTCAGCACACCAAAGTTCACACAGGAGGTGAAAACCAACACGAGATATGAGAACTCTGGAAATTGTCTGGAAATCGAAGTCTTATTCAGCAATTCGTATGCACCCAGATGTGTGGCAACAATACTAATGTATGGACTCTCTCTCTCTCTCTCTCTCTCTCTCTCTCTCTCTCTCTCTCTCTCTCTCTCTCTCTCTCTCTCTCTCTCTCTTGCTGGTGTCCTTTCCTCAGGCTTTGCTCACTCTCTGAACGTCTCTCTCTCTCTCTCTCTCTCTCTCTCTCTCTCTTGCTGGTGTCCTTTCCTCAGGCTTTGCTCACTCTCTGCACGTCTTCCTCACCAACTTCCTCTCTCTCTCTCTCTCTCTCTCTCTCTCTCTACTACACCTATGGTGCTGCGCACACTTCCAGCCTCACTCCCGTGTCCTTTCCTTAGGCTTTGCTCACCCTCTAAACGTCTTGCTCACTACTTTCCTCTCTCTCTCTACTACAGCTATGATGCTGGACACACTTCCAGCGTCACTCGATGCCTGGTCGCACAAGACCATAGCACCACGGTGCTGGACACACTTCCAGCCGCACTCATTGCTTGGTCGCACAAGACCATAGCAGCATTCTTCCGCAACAAGTTTGAATGGGAAAGGTCTCAACGGTTTGCTGAAGTTGGACTTTTGTAACTGTAGCTTCGGTTCGTGATCTTGGGCTTCACGGACCGGTATCCTCACTTGCCGGTCTTGGTTGACGTTTGTCATGTCCAGAGAAAACTGACTTTCCTAGGACTGAGCCGTTGACCATACTGGATTGACTGACTGGAATGGTGCATAACCGGGCCTACGGTGCTGTAGACCAAGCTATCCTATGGCTCATGGAACATTGGCACTCTGGAACTGGGATTCCGGTAGGATACTCATTTTGGTGAAATCCTTTTATTTGTTTATTACGGCAGTAAAGGGTGGGGATTCTGTGGATGCCCTTGGCAATTCAGTATGTTATCGGTTCTGCTGATTTAAACCGCCAGTACCTTTCCCTTACATCGGCTGCAGGCAGTTTGGGAAGGCCATTTGTATCATGGCTGGCAACCGGCCGGTTGGACCGTACTTCAGGGTTTGAGGGTTGGGGGTTGGGGGGGTTTATGGTGAGGGTGTTGGTGGAGGGGTTTCCACAACCTCAGGCTTCAGCAGACATTGACAATAACGTACCTGGCTTTCTGCAAATGTTAACCTTCTGCCCAAAAACTTTGAAAAGGGGGCTGGAGGTGTTAGTTGCAGGGTAGGGACGGTACTTCCCACCCAAAAACTTTGAAAAGGGGGGTGGGGGTGATAGTGTTAGGGGGTGCTTGTCACTGCTGTCTGGTCGAAGTTGCCCTCGATACTAGTAGGGTGATGGTCCTGAGTGCTGGTCACACTGAGGTAGGATAGTAGGGATAGGGGGTGCGCTGGAGCATTAACGTGGGGAAGGGTAGGGAAGGTGGCCTATCCTGTCAGCACAACCAATGGCTGCCGCTGCCAGCAAAAAAAAAATAATGATAATAATAAAAAATGATGCGCTACGGCCAACGGGGGGGGAACCGGCCTGGTCGACCGGCCGGTAGAACAGGTCCGGTTCCGGTTGTGGGAGGGCCCCCCGGTCCTACCGGGTTTGCAGCCTTGATTTGTATAGCAATGTCTCTATGTCTATATGTCAATTTATAATGTATGATTATGATATTGTGAATGGTTGGTTAGTTGTACAAACATACTGACTGTCATTATGATAGAAAAGTGATTTGGAGGGTTGATGCAAGAGTAGCTATTTGTCAGGTGGCTGTAGGTATGTTTGTCTGGGGTTGGTTTAATAAATGGTGTTTCCTTTCCACCTGAATGGCTTCACTGTGGGGAGACAAGGATTCTGTTTTTCCATCTTTTCATAGGTGTCTGAGTCGTGAGTAGACTTAGGGTGTCCTTAAACAATTGGTGTGGTTCCGTGTGTGTGTGTGTGTGTGTGTGTGTA